GGATTTGAACTGTCCTCGTCATTCACACCATTTTAATCCACTTTTACTATTTCAACACTATTTTGATGATTTTACTATTTGTAACTCGTTTAATTGTTTCCTTAATAGGCAATTTGCCCTATGATTAGTTTTTAAATTTTATGCCATTTGATTGCCTCAATATAAGGGTCTGTTGACCTGGAATGGCAATTTATATTTTAATTTGCTTCTAATATTGCTGGTGTTTTAAATTTAATTGTGCTTTTAATCCTTATTTTAGGGTCTGTTGACCTGGACTTTTCATGGCATACATGCCAGATATATTTGTCAAGTTTTCTTAAACATTTAATATTCTGACTAATTGTAGATAACTAATTTTGTTCAAGAGTATTGTTCGCCCGCAAAGTTTACGGGCTGTTGCCATTTGATTTTTGTATCTTATGTATTTTATGCATTTTTTGTATTTTATGTTCTTTAATGCTTTTTTACTTGGTTTTTAATAAACATTTACCCGTATGCCCTCAATTGGGGCAGGCCGGGGTAAATATTTTCATATATATATGCGTGCATACATGTGTGTGTGGGTGGGCGGTCGGGTGGTTGTGTGCTCGTTAATAACTGGAGAACGAAAGAAGCGATTTGGATAGTGTTTTTTCGGACACTCTGTAAATTTTTTAAGGGTATTTTGTGAAACAATAACTTCTCTCCTTCTTTATTGGGTACAAGCACAGTATCGGAAATATGAAATTTTATTTATGAAAACCGTTCTTATAGATGAAGACATGCGTGGTTATGGAAGCAGCAATTCTACAAAAAATTTAGAAAATGAAAGAAGATTACATATTGTCTTGACTTTGATTACTTGTTTACATGTTCCTGGAATATCTCGTGACTATTTTTTTTCTCCTTTAGAATAGCTTCAATTCTTGAAAACACATTGGGAATCCGAAGAGGAGATGCAGTTATTGTGATGTTACCAAAAATACCTGAGTTTTACTTCCTTAACATTTCCGCTCTCAGAGTAGGTCAGTGTGATATTAATTACTGTTTTTACAAATTTGAAAATCCTAAATCATTAATACTATGACTATCTAATATTAAAAGTATGGATTCAAAATTAACCCAAATAGTTTGATGAAAGAAAATATTTAATTCATTTTACAAAAACTTGCACAAAGCTAGTTTGCTGCTCTTATCCGTAATCTAGGAAAAAGACGAAAACCCCTGATCCATAATGGTTTCAATTGCAAATATTTAAAATATTGCGAAGTTCTGTTTAAAAAGTAAACTTTAATGTAACTATATTTTAATTTATATTTTTCATTTTATATATTTTTTATTCTATAACTGTCGCTGAGCAGCCTACCCAACTTAGAGTTTACGGCTACCAATGTTTAACTCCGTAGCCTTATAATTTTGAACTTAATTTAGAGAAAAGAGTACTCTTGGATCAAGTATTAATAGGTATTTTTTACGTTGATGGTTTTTGTGAAGGAACTAACCCACATTTGTATGATCTATCCCCTGGACCACCAAGGCTCAATGTAACTGTAACTATATTCTGTAATCCTAAAACGATATTTAGAAATCAATTAAATACTTCGGTGTATTAAGTCCGAGGACTTTCCCAGCATTTGCGCATGCACGAGGTCTGCTTTGATTTTATCAAAATAGGGGGTGAGATGAGAGAAAGAATAATGAATTGTTTATTTTGTTATGCCCCTTAGGACTACAAAATGTATCAGATTACCATTCCTTTTCAAAGTAGAATCGTCTTTTAGTAGCAGTTTCAATCTTCAAAAACGAGTGCTACTAATATTATCAACTGTTCAACAGTAAAAATATAAACAACATTTCAACTGTTTTTATTTAGAATTTAACTCGTCGTGAAGGTAACTAAGGTTAATACATGAATTCCTATTCGTATATCCAATGACTTAATTGAACTTCGTTTGAACTAAACTCTTTGGATAAATGCTCAGTTTGAAAAATCATTTTTTTAGCCTCAATAATATAATATCTAAAATTGGCTCAAACGAATTGGAATATTATCCACAAACAAAATTATTTGCTATACTAATACCAAATTTACTTGTAACTTCATGGGTAATTAATTATTCGTGTATTACTCGTGATAATGATAATGGATAATTCTAGTTGATTAATTGATTTCATTGTTTTAGTTGCTAGTAATTTTAATAACTCAGCAATTTTTTTAGGTTGTGTATTAAGTCCTGCATCCACTATGCTTACTACCAAAGATCTGGTATATCGATTCAAAGCTCTAAATCCTGTCTGCGTGATTGCCCATGATTCAGTTGCAGACACAGTCGAAGAAGTATGTTGAATTATTTTATTAAAGAAACATTTAATTAATAATTTTTGCTTTCGAATATTTGAAATAGTTGTGACAGTAATTCTATTTTTCAGGCAAGTGCAAAAATTTGAAATCTTTAAATTAGAAGGATAAAAATTATCGGTGCCAAACTAGAAATTCAGAAAATTGTGAAATGAAATTTTGCAATGCAAAGTTACAGGTAAAAAGCAGCAATAAACTAAAGCAAATACAGGAACAGATATAATAGCTGGTGTCATCTTTAAGACACTGAAACTATAATCAGCTATTTATAATCAATAATCCAATTGGTTTGAACTGGAGATCTGTTAATCAGGGTCATCAGCGATTCGAATCCGTTAATTGGAATTTTCACTTATTCGAATAAGATTATTCATATCAGGATATTCGAAAAAGTTAGATTTAAATCTATGAATTTGAATTATGTGCAGAGTGTTAAGATAGTGATTCAGGTCATACGAAATCCGCTTATTTCAATCAAATCTCAGTAAGGAGCCTTTCAAACAGTTTAATTTAATGTATTTCTTATACTATTTTGTTCATGATTGTTCCCTTTCCATTATTGGTAAAACTACCTTTTCCTTTATTTCAACGTGTTTGTCTCATTATGCTCTCCTCTCATTTTGTATTATTTCCATTATAAGGATTTTTTTATGCCCTTGTGTGTACTTTATTTACATTGTTTAGTTTTATTGATGTAGTTTATAATTATATGATATGTATATATATTATATATATATATATATATATACACTCTATAACAAAAAAATCGAAGCTCGATCAGACTGGAATGATGCCGACTGGGGACGTATAGTCTTTAGCGACGAATCCCGCTTCCAACTGTGTCCTGACGATCATCGAAGACGTGTTTGGAGACGCACAGGGCAGAGGGAGGATCCTGCCTTCCCTCTTGCACGCCACACCGGCCCTCAACAAGGCATTATGGTCTGGGGTGCCATTTCCTTTGACAGCCGGACCCCTTTGGTCGTCATTAGAGGTACACTTACTGCACAGCGGTACGTCGACGACATCCTAAGACCTGTTTTGCTACCGTTCCTTTTGCTGCGCCCTGGGCTGGTTTTTCAGCAGGACAATGCCAGACCACATGCGACACGTGTTGCTATGAACTGTCTGCAAGCTTGTCAAACTCTTCCTTGGCCTGCCAGATCACCAGATCTCTCTCCCATCGAGCATGTCTGGGATATGATGGGAAGGCGATTGCATCTGGCACGGAAAGCTGATGACCCCGTTCGACAATTGGATCGAATTTGGCAGGAAATACCGCAAGAGACCATCCGGGAGCTTTATCGGTCTATGCCATGCCGTGTGGCAGCTTGTATCCAGGCTAAGGGCTGGTCAACACCTTATTGAACTTGTTACTGTAACTCTGCAATAAATTATTCAATTGTTCTGAAATTTTAATCATTTACTATTCTGTACATTGTCTTCCTATCCACCAATTTTCGTTTCAATCGAACAACTCCTTCTGGGTGCGTCGATTTTTTTGTTATAGAGTGTATATATATATATATATTACATACATATATTACATACATATATAAAATATACATAAATTAGGTAGTGAGATTTTACATTGAATTAAAAAAAATTAAAAACTAATTTCATTATTATATGCGTTTTTTTATAGGCAGCTGAATGTCTTCCAACTTTGAAACAAAAAGTAATCGTTTCTAAATCACCTAATAAGTATGTATTTTATTCCTTACAATTTCTTTTTCATTGGTTTACATATTTTTACACTCTCTTTTCCAGAACTATTGAAATTTTCAGTAATTTTATGCTAAAATACATGATATAGTCCATTCACCGTAAAGAAACGATTGCCACCAAACAGTTCACCTTGCCGCGGGAGTGTCATTTGCGCTTAAAGTTAGTTTTTTTTTCTCCCCACCATAAATTTGATTAAGCGTAATTCTACATAATCCTTATTTTTACTAATAAATGGGCTACGTGATGCTAGTTCTCGTCATTGGCTTGGAGTTCTTTCATTTTACTTCCCACCATAAAAGCTAACTCATGAGAGTCAAAATTTACCACTATCAGGTAATAAATCCTGTACCTATCCCTTTCGAAAACAATTATAAACTTAATACCACACTACCTATATTAAATATCTATATTACTATATTTCGGAACTATTAAAACAACTCTTACTACAGTAATACAAATTATCAAAATTAATTTTTTCTAAAATTTGACGATTTTTACAGTTTTCTGAAACGAATGCGTGACTTTCCCAGATCAATTTTGAATTTCAGTATATATATTTTTTAAATTGCAATCAATTTTAAACTATTTAGCTGTACAGAAAAATTTGACATTAAATAAAGACTAATTCTGTAACATTATATGCTATTGACGTCTACCATTGATCTTATTTGAGATAAAAAATAAAATATAATTAAATATTAAAGAACGTGCAATAAAAATTCTTGTTTTTACGATTATTATATAGAGTTGTAAGCTTGCAATCATTGCTGATGGTATTATCTTTTGAATATTTGAAGGAAAAACAGGATCATCTACGGTTTTAATTTATAACAATGACAAATGCTAAGCCAATGAGAGAATTTTATTTATTAAATGTCTCTCTCGAGTGATAAAATTGAAATTTTTGAGCGATTTTCAAAATTGGAAGCTAATTTTTTTCACTTTCGTTCGCAGTCGAAAGTGAGACCACGAGTGCAAACGGTTCTAGAGTCCTAAGAGGGACGTACAGACACACAAACTTTTATTATTATACTTTCATTATTAACGTTCACTAGTGGGTTCTGCCCCCTATTTGATTATACTCCTCATCCTCGAAGATTGCTATGCATTCTTATTGTTTGCTCGCTTTGTTTGCAACTAAGTTTGAGATGTTTGTTAGTGGGTTCTGCTCCCTATTTGATTATGCTCCTCATCCTCGAAGATTACTATGCATTCTTATTGTTTGCTCGCTTTGTTTGCTACTAAGTTTGAGATGTTTGTTAGTGGGTTCTGCTCCCTATTTGATTATGCTCCTCATCCTCGAAGATTACTATGCATTCTTATTGTTTGCTCGCTTTGTTTGCTACTAAGTTTGAGATGTTTGTTAGTGGGTTCTGCTCCCTATTTGATTATGCTCCTCATCCTCGAAGATTACTATGCATTCTTATTGTTTGCTCGCTTTGTTTGCTACTAAGTTTGAGATGTTTGTTAGTGGGTTCTGCTCCCTATTTGATTATGCTCCTCATCCTCGAAGATTACTATGCATTCTTATTGTTTGCTCGCTTTGTTTGCTACTAAGTTTGAGATGTTTGTTAGTGGGTTCTGCTCCCTATTTGATTATGCTCCTCATCCTCGAAGATTACTATGCATTCTTATTGTTTGCTCGCTTTGTTTGCTACTAAGTTTGAGATGTTTGTTAGTGGGTTCTGCTCCCTATTTGATTATGCTCCTCATCCTCGAAGATTACTATGCATTCTTATTGTTTGCTCGCTTTGTTTGCTACTAAGTTTGAGATGTTTGTTAGTGGGTTCTGCTCCCTATTTGATTATGCTCCTCATCCTCGAAGATTACTATGCATTCTTATTGTTTGCTCGCTTTGTTTGCTACTAAGTTTGAGATGTTTGTTAGTGGGTTCTGCTCCCTATTTGATTATGCTCCTCATCCTCGAAGATTACTATGCATTCTTATTGTTTGCTCGCTTTGNTTTTTTTTCTTCATTTGCGCATTGTAATAGAGGGCGTTGTTTTCTTTAGGTTTTAGTTTTTTCTTTTCATTCGGCTTGCTTGAGAAATTGATGTCTGACCTGTGACTATGTGAGTTTTTATTTTTCTGATGATTTTGTTTGAGTTTCTTTTCTTAATTTGTTATTTATATTGCATGTTTTTTTTTTCCTGGACTTCTATACAAAACGATCGGGGTACTGAGGGAGTTAATTTAGGCATTTGCTTCTCCCCCTATTAGAAATGGTTTTGTTTTTATGGCTACCGAGGCCGGTACCCCCTGAAGACGTCGGCTTCGGTGGTCATATTTTCATTTTTATTTCCTTCATTTTGTTTTCTTTATTGCTAGAATCTTTAAAACTAATCCCTCTTTAACCTTTCGCAATAACTGGCACAAATACGTGCCAGCATGAAACGTTATCGATCTGGGTAAAAAGATGATACTGGTATCCAAACTAACTCCTTAGCAATTCATTTGTGGTCGGAATTATTATAGTTTGATTTATTTAATTCACCACTACTTAATTCGAAATAAAAATTATATAGTTACACTTTGAGCTAACATTGATTAGATATGTGATTAGATTAACATTGATTAAAGGGACTGCAAAATAAGTCTATCAAATTTTATAACCGTCGTTGAGCAGCTGACTCAATTTTTTGGGTTTTGCGATTACTAATGATCAACTTCGTAGCCTTGTAATTTTGAACCCAATCTATAAGACAAGGGAACTCTTGGATCAAGTATTGGGTGATATTTGCCTTCGAGGAGGAATTTTTGATGAAATTAACCCCATTTACGTTACAAGTCTGTCAAATTATCAATGACCTCATTTAAGCCACCACTTTTTATTTCTTCCGTTCTTATTCTGATTTTGTTATGATGCTTTTGTGATTCTCTCACTCGGAAAGGATTGAAAATTAAAATCTTTTATCCACGATAAGTTATTAAAATAAAACATTTTAAATTTAAATAAAAGACATGCCATAAAAAAATTGCGGAAATTAAACATTAATTATGCTTTTTAAATCAAACAGCTTATTTTCCAAAGAATAGCATTAAATAAAATTATTTTTATTGAACTTGCATAAGTATAATTAAAACATAATTTATTCACTATTTTTCAGGAAGTTTGGCTGGTTTGATCTGAACCATATACAATTAAATTCGGATGATCATAAGGTATTGAAATTCTGCTCATAATTGATTTCATTATTAAAGTTTGTTTTCAATAAATTTTGATTATATCTATATTTTTATTTTTAAAATTACAGCTATAACATAATTTCTGAACATTATACAAAGATATTTTTAACGAAAAGTACAGTTGAAATATAAACATTCATTTAATCAAAATAGCCAGTAGAAAAATATGGAATAATAAATTATACATAAATTGCGGTATAAAAGCAGCTTTAACAGTATTATTTATTTTCTAGTTTTTTAATAAAAGTATTATTTAAGGTAGTATTCATTAAGGAAATTATAATTATTTTAGGTGAAAACTATGTCTCTTTAGTATTGAAAAAAATAGTTTTTAAATTTTTATTTATTTTTTGGGGATTTTTTTCTTTAAATAAGAAAATCTTGATTCCATTGTCAGCTTTATTTAAAATATAAAAAAAAGAATAAATGCATTTCAAAAACAATTATTTTTTTTTTGCATAAAACATGTATTTTTCTAGCCTTTTTATTAATTCCTTTTAACTTTTTAATTTTGACATTTTTGTTCGAAGCTATGAATTATTTCTCGGCTATATAAATAAAATATATTATTTCATATTGTATCAACATAAGGTTCTAGTAAATTACCTTAACTTTTCCAGGATTATATAAAATGTTGACAGGGTGTACTGGGGTCCCCTGATTTATTTTTGCGTATTTCATAAGATATTAAGAACTTTTTAAGCAAATCAAGAAAATTTTGCACATAATTACAAAATTAGTTTACCCACTGATACATAGATGAAAATATGCACTACACAAAAAATAATTTATTATGCTTTTTTTTTAATAATCGTTTTATTTAATAACTAGCCGCCTAAGGCGGCCAGCTGTCCGCCACGCTATGTTTCTTGGACCCTAGCACTTCTAATTGAGACACGAACCTCTTCTAATCTTCTTTGACGTTCCTCAGGTGTTTCTCAGGCCATAACACTGCTAGTTGAGACACGATCCTCTTCTAATCTTCTTTGACGTTTCTCTGATACTTCTTGGTCTCTTGAATTGCTTGTCGAAATTCGGTCATGTTCCATCCTTCTTTGACATTCCATAGACGTTTCTTGGGCACTTCTTCTTCTTTGAGAATCTCTTAATATCTTTTTCCTTGACAAAATACAAAGTTTTTTGGAAGGCGGTTCTGCCATGTCAGTAATCGGGTTTTTAAGAAGTCAACGAATACTTTAGAACAACAATTACTATGAAAGCAAATCATGAAACTTCAATATTAAAATCTAAGTGCTTACCTGCAAACTGAAACTTTCTGAAAATAACTAATTACATTTAATAAAAACTGTTAAAATAAAGAATAGAAAAACCAAAGAGATCCAAGGTAAGTGTGATCGTTCCTTCAAAAACAATTAAATTCCTATTTTATATATTATATAGCTACAACGCTTAAGAAAAA